CATAACGATTGGGTGTTCATGTGCTTGTGTAAGATGTGCCACCCTTAAACCTTGTTACAACGTTGGCACATTACCCATCTGCCATGAAAAAAATAAAAATACAAAAATTAGCTGGGCGTGGTGGCAAGAACCTGTCATCTCAGCTACTTGGGAGGCTGAGGTAGGAGAACTGCTTGAAGCCAGGAGGCAGAGGTTGCAGTGAGCTGAGGCACTTGTCTGGGTAAGAGTGAGACTCTGCCTCAGAATAAATAAATAAATAAATAAAGATTTCATTTAGAAAAATTTCTCTTGTCTGATTCATAAGAGATTTCACTTGTTTTTAAATATTTAATTTTTGTGTTTATATTTAATATTTAAATTTTGTGTTTATAATGCATATCATATGTAGAATTCTGCTTATATATAGCTTATAGATAAGCATGAGGATTAGCCTACATATATAATTTATAAGTAAACAAACATGTTATAAAGGTATATGCTAAAGACTTGCTATTGAAGGCCTACACTTTAAGAAAATGTTTGGAGACCACTGATTTTCAGTACGAAGCTCAAAGCCTTTGTTATGGCATTCAAGGCTGGTGCTAATTTAGCCCCAGATAATTTTATGGCTTTTTCCACCTCCTCTGCCTCCCACTATCAAAGATCATATTCTAACTGTAATCAGCTACTAGACATCTTCCAAGTGCACCACAACAGCACGCTGTAGTTCAGAGTACTTTGCCCACAGTAGGTGTTCGATCAAGTCCATGGAATAACCACCTTACAGCATTATTGTCACTCCGTCAGCCCTGGACTGTTCCTCCCTGACTTCTCTCAAGGACACCCTCCTGATTTCTGTCCTGCTGCTTCAACTATTCCTTCGGTCTTCACTGGCTGCCTCTTCCATACACACTTTACAAATATTTGAGTCCCTGCTGTGGGTCAAGTATGGTGACAGGTACTAGAATATGCAGTGACCAAGAAAACCAGGTTCTTTGACCCAATAAGATACCCCAAAACTTCATCTCTAGTCCCTTCCCCTCATTTACCTCTGTCCTTATGCAGCTCTGACATCGAGTCAGAGTCTTGTCTCCTGTTTCTAGCTACTTGTGGAATATTTCTGTCTGCATCTACTTCTATCACCATGCCTGAATTCACTGTTCCCTGTCTTTACATGTTTCTCTGGCCTCCACACCTAGTTTCATTTTATTTTTATTTTTTATTTTTACCTAGTTTCAATTTCTCTGCATTGACTAGCTCCTTTCCTTGCATTCCTATTGATATTGCTTGCCAGCCTGTATTAGAGCCTGCTTCTTCCTTGAGGGACTTTGGCAACTGCTATTCCTGCCTTTCATCTCTCCAAGTAGCAATTCATTTTGCCTTGCTGCCTAAATCATTATTTTACAAATTACTGCCAGCTTTCCCCAATATAAGATGCAGTGAGGAAGAGGTTCAGGAAAGTTTGAGGCCTACTTTTCTTTTTTGAGACAGGTTCTTGCTCTCTTGCCCAGGCTGACTGCACTGGTGTGATCATAGCTCAATGCAGCCTTGACCTACCTTCCAGGTGCAGGGTGATCTTCTACCTCAGCCTCCCAAGTAGCTGGGACTACAGGTGCACACCACCACACTTGGCTAATATTTTTCTTTTTTTTTTTTTCTTGTAGAGACGAGGTTTTGCCATGTTGCCCAGGTTCATCTCAAACTCCTGAGTTCAAGTGATCTGCCCACTTCGGCCTCCCAAAGTGTTGGAATTAGAGGCATGAGCCACCACACCCAGCCTAATTTTTCGTATTAAGGCCTGCTTTTCATAAGGTGTTTGAACTGCTTCACCCAGCGTTTCAGGGGTTCTTTACAGACTATTCAGCTTGGTGTTTGAGGGTTCAAGCTTACTATCCACTCCTGCCTTGGTATGGATTTGTGCTCATTGTTCCCAGAAAGCACGGTTCCCACTTCTGGGTCTTCACTAGGTCCCCCTCCCTCCCCACCTGTCTTCGCCTCTCAGTTCAACTCATTTAATACACATTGCTCTGTTCCTTACCTTTTAATCTTGTCTTCTCTGCCCAGATGTTGTGGCCTACCCTCGGCCCCCAGAAATGGGCCTTTTGGATCTTTATAATCCAGAGTACACTGAAATTTAGTGTTCTAAGCACTGTTCTGTCCTACATACATGCTTTCATCTTATTTTCACAAGCCTAGGAGGTACTTATAACATCTTTGTTTACAAAGATTAAATAATTTGCCCAAAGCCATGAATGAGAGGCAGAACTCAAATGTGAGAGCAAATTTGGGTTCCTTTCAGTGACTGCTTGCCTAATCCTGCATGGCCACAGTGTGAGGTGCATGGCAGGCCCCAATCTTAACCTCCACTCTCAGAACCAGGGCTGTACCTCAGGAAGATGTCCTGTAGAGAATAAGCCTCAACAAATATTTACTGCAGATACTTCCCTCCCACAAGAACTCCTCTTTGCCATGAGTGATCTCCCATATGGGCTGGGGTTTGAACTACCCACTTTGGCACCTAGTGGTCTATTGTTTGATTCTATTGTTTCTTCTTTCCCTCATCTCAGGCTCTATTTTCGTGTACTATTGTTTCTAATGTTGCCTTTGCCTAGCAGAGTTTTCCTTCTCTCATCAGGTCAGGTCCCTCCCATTGGCTGATGTGGGTGAGGTTGCTCCGCCTTCACAGCAGGATCTTCCTCCACTGATGACAATCAGTGGCATTCAAATCTAAGACTCCTTTGGGGTGTTAAAAATGCAGCTGATTAGTTTTGGGGTGGGACACAGGAATCTGCATCTTTAACACCCAGATCTTCTTAGGTTATAGTCACTACATCAGTCTACATTCCTGCCTGTTAAGACTGACCCATTAAGGCAGGATTATTTCCTGGTATAGCGATTCTCTAAACATTGCACACAGCTGAAGAACTGGAAACCGGGCCTCTTTTGTTTCTGGATACACCACTTGGCAGGTGTAATAACATCCTCTGACAGGCTGCTTGCCACAGGTGCATGCTTGACACGTGCGTCTTGTTGGTACCATCCCCTCCCCCTTCCCACCCCTGCTGCCCAACCAAGACCCCTCCATTCCCACCACCACCCTGCAGCTGTTGCCCTTCTCCAGGCCCCCAATACCACCCCCCCATTGCCCTCCCTTCTCTTCCTTTCCCTCCCCCATAACCCTTCCCCAGGCTCCTCCCACCTCAGAATATTTTTTTTGTTCCTAAGTTTATCATGTGAGGTGGGGGTGGGGGGACTGGTTAGATGGAGAGGACGCTCTGCGATTCGGAGGTCCTACTGAGTGGGCACACCTTTTCCCCTCGAGAAAACCCTGTTTCTACCAGAGAAATGGGGAGGCCTCTCTCTGGAACTTGAAACCCTCTGTCTCTGGAAACATCCCAAAGCAAGCCCAGCCTGCCATGTTCCTTTGTTGGGGCACAGAGGGAATGGAATCTTACCGATAAGGTGAGAAGAGCTTGAGAGAATACCAAGGACGGGCCCACCCTTCGCCCTCCTCCCTCCAAACACCTCAGGCTAAAAGGGGAGAAAAAAAAGCACCAACAAAGAGTTTAAGACAGCAATTCCCAGCTTTTTCAAATATGAAGCATTTTTTAACCAATCCGTTTAATTCTTAAATTCTTGACATTACAGAACTAAACTGAAATTTATTAACATTCCACTCTTACATTTCTTATCGACAAACAAGAAATAAAATTCATGAGCCAAAAAACCCAAAACAAAACTAAAAACAGGGAAAAGCTTATAAAACTAAATATGGATCCCAGCATTAACAGCTGAACAGAGAAGGTGATTTTTAAATTCTTAGCGGATGATAAAGTTGTGTAGAAACTGAACACTTACAAATTATTTAAAACCTGGAATCACTGACCAGAAATTACACAGTTGGATCATGGGAAAACAGCAGAAAGGGGTTATCGAGGGAACCTACACTGTTCTAGCTGCACCCCATGCCCTTCTCAGAGGAAAGCCTGGCATTGATTAGATACTGGGCCAGACTAATACTGGCAGCAGAGCCAGTGATAGTAACCTGCCTACCAGAGGAGCCTTCCACTGGGTTGGCAATTTTGATCTGGGCCCCGGACATCTGGCGAATCTCATTAATGTTGGCGCCTTGGCGCCCGATTATGCAGCCAATTAAGTTATTTGGAATGGTGAGTTCATGGGTGGTTTGAGTAGATGCATCCAAACTTGCCCAATAGCCTTTCACCTCTGGAGAGCTGGAGTCAATTCCGGCGAATCCGGTCCCGCCGTGCATCATGGCAAAGTGAGACTGTTGTCTTGCCACCTGGTTCAGCTTGGCCAGATCGAGCGGAGAAATGGTGTGTTGTCCTTGAATCGAGTAGGCATCTAGAGGTGGTCCCTCCAGGTCATGGGTGGCGTGGGGGTAGCCCGCAGCGTCGCTGCACCGATCTTGGCCGCCCGCGCAGATGACTGGGGAGCTGGCCGGCATGGGCTGGTACGGAATGGTCATGACTCTCCCTTGCGGAGACTGGGAGAGCGTCTCCAGCATGACCAGGCAGATCTGCTTGACACACTCGGTAACAGACTGCGGCACGCCAGCGATGGTGATGGCCCGCTCGGTGGAGTTGGGCAGCATATCCCCCGCCACCTGGACCTGCGCCCCCGTACTCTCGCGGATCTCTTTGATCTTACACCCGCCTTTCCCAATCAGGGAACCGCACTGGGTGGCCGGCACCACCAGCCTCAGGGTGACCGGGGGCCTGCTGGCCGCGGTGCTGTTGGTCATGGAGCTGTTGATATCTTCCTCCAGCTTGTCGATGATCATAGCGAAAGCCTTAAAGATGGCATTGGTGGGGCCGGTCAGAGTGATGATTCTCTCCGGACAATTCCCCTCCGAGATGTTGATCCGCGCGCCACTCTCCTCGCGGATCCTCTTAACCGACTCCCCTTTCTTCCCAATGATGCTTCCTACTTCCTTTCCGTGCATAAGAAGCCGAATGGTGAGAGTCACATTTAGTCCACTTTCAGTCACACCGGCATCCATGGCGAGCGGCGGGCGGCGTTCGGGGGAGTTGGGCTCGTTACGTGGTCAAGTCTTTGGCGGCTGGCGGGGGGAGGGGAGGTGTAGGCCCAAAACTGCCGGCGCGAGGCGAGCGAGGGCCGCGGGAGCGAGCGGGAGCGGGCGGGAGGCCGCAGCGTAGTCTCAGGGGCGGGCGGCGGCGGCGGAGGGGGCGAGCGGGGCCGGGAGCGGCGGGCTGGCGGGTGGGCGAGGGCGCGGCGGTGGCGACTCCGGCGGCAGCCTCGGCGGTCTGGGCGGGGCGGGAAGCCCGCTTTCAACCCCGCGTACCCTCTGACCCCGGAAGTGCTTGCTGCGCAGGACCCCTTGAAAAAAATGAGGACCCGTCTTTTTTAGGTCACAAGATTGCGCCAACCCTCACATGGTCCTTAAAAAAAAGCCCTTCTGACACTGCAGTAGTGAGAACGAAGCGCATTATGGGGGGAAGCTGCGAGTCCGGCAAAGTTTTAAAATGAATACGTATTTTATTAACTCTAACAGCACTGGCAGGTGACTGAAATTACTAGTGTTGTGTATGGTAGACAGACATTATTTTCCTGCTCTACATAAGGGATTACTGCGCGGAACGACACGGGCAGCCCCGGCGGAAACTGCAGGCACCAGCCGGGACGCCGCGGGTTTAAAACGTGCGCGTGAGGTGATCAGGGCGCGTGCGCGAGGGTGTGGAGGGGACGGGAGGGGCACCCGCCGTCTTCCGGGGGGGAGGGGCGGCGAGGCGAGGCCTGCGGAGCGGGTGCGCGCGGGCGCCCCGCATCAACCCCCACCCCCACCCCGGCCCCTGCTCTCCGGAGGCGGTCGGTGAGCAGAAAGACCGAAACCGACTCACGGCCGCCGCCCGAATAGCGGCTCTGCTGTTTGTGGGGCGTGCTAGAAACGTGGTCCTAAAAAGAATGGCGTCCATTTACATAATGCTTTGTTTGCGTTTCACAAGTTTCGGTTAAAGCCACAGAAACCCCACCTTCTGCCCTTGTGTGGTTTCCACCGCGGCACCCTTGTCCGATATTAGAAACAATAGTGTGCGCCTGTGGAGGCCTCTTTTGTTCAGGGGGTGCCGACTAGGGCTTCAGGGCGTTTCTGTGGCCTTTCCCGCGCGGCTTGGGCTCCCACAGCTGTCTTTTAGGCCCATGGGCGCAGCCACCGCGCCCCGCTCTCCGGGGGCGGCATCACCAGGGCCCGCCATCTTGGAAGGCCTTTGCTGCCGGTTCCTCCCGCTGAGGAAGTGTCACTCGAGACGCTGGCCTATGACTTGTGGTTTCTGCCCTTTCCCCTTGGCCTAAGCCAGACCAGAAAAGGCCCCGTGCGCAACGTGCTTCAGAATTCCTCAGGGAAAGCGGCCAACGTGGCGCTACTCCGCCTCCCCCGTTCTTTCCCCGCGGGGCGGCCGCCATGTTTCTTGAAGACAAAATGGCGACACGTGGCTAGCATTTGTCGCCAACGAGAAATTGGGGTCCGCCCGAAAGCTCTAGAATGCACCCCCCTTCCTCCTCTGGGCCTTCCCCGCTCCGCGAGTCTTATGACCCCTCCGGGATTAAAAAAAATTCCGCAGCCTGGTCTGAAGCTCGGAGGCCTAATTTTAACGCGTTTTCCTTTCTCTAATTTGAAACGGGAACGCGAATAACTAAAATGTAGGCACAATATTTAGCCTCTCGCCCTTTTAAAGCTTAATAATGGATAATAGGGGGCAGTATCAAAGGATAATTTGGGTCCCCACTGTACCAAAGCATTTAGAAACCTCTGCTTAATTTAAGGAATGAGATAAATTACTGCTTTTCTAGACTTTCTAGCATGGTCCATTGTGCTGGGGAGAACAAGAGATGGTTTATAAAGCTTTTAAAAGCAAGACAACTTCTGTGAAGAGACTAGAATGCCTCTGACTTTTTCACAGGCCAGTTGGCCGGTGAATCTTATTAACAGTTTAACACAATTAGTGTTCACTTTTAGTTTAGAGGGGACAGGTGTTTATTGTGCATTGGCCAGTGTCAGCACATTCGATGCCAGGCATTTCACCGCATCTTATGTTTAATTTTTACTATCAGCCTCAGAGGTAGGTGTTCTTATCTCTCTCTCTTTTTTAAACAGAGGAAGACACTTAAAGATGAAGTGCCTAATTCAAGGTCACACAGTGTCGGGAATGGACCTCCAGATTTCCTTACTGGTGAGCACATTTTCCAGATTTTTGTGTAAATCAGAGTTTTGGAATTTAAATGCTATTTTAAACGTTTAGGTGAGCTTGTCATTTAAATGAACCCTTCAGGTAATCTTTTGTTGTGTAGTCAGCCCCTTTTTGTATCTGTTTGGCGGCTCCAGCTTTTCTTGATATGAGGTACACCTGTAATGGGCGGTCTCAAATGCTCTTATGCTGTGTCTGGTGAGGATAGGGAGGGGGAAGTGATTCAGCCCGCCCAGAGACTCAGGTATCTGTCAGTCTGGCCTTGGCTGTGGCATTTTTGAGTCTACCTGGCTCCGGGGGAGCAAACAGTTCTCTATATGACGCATTTGCTTCCCTTAGCTCCCCACGGGCTTCACTCTTGCCTTCCCCACCCCAACACCCCAACCAGGTAAAAATAAATACACTCTGGGCCGGGCGCGGTGGCTCAAGCCTGTAATCCCAGCACTTTGGGAGGCCGAGGCGGGTGGATCACGAGGTTAAGAGATCGAGACCATCCTGGCCAACATGGTGAAACCCCGTCTCTACTAAAAATACAAAAAATTAGCTGGGCGTGGTGGTGCGTGCCTGTAATCCCAGCTACTCAGGAGGCTGAGGCAGGAGAATTGCCTGAACCCAGGAGGCGGAGGTTGCGGTGAGCCGAGATCGCGCCATTGCATTCCAGCCTGGGTAACAAGAGTGAAACTCTGCCTCAAAAAATAAATAAATAAATAAATAAATACACTCTGGCACCAAACCTCCATTTCTCTGCAGAGATTGACAGAGCATGACAGAGTGTTAGGTCAGTCAGTCTGTGGCCTCTTCAGTGGGCCAAATAGGTGCCTGAGCAGGGCTCTGATTGTGTGGGTGTGACACACAAAAGAAGGGCTTTTTGCCTTTAACTTACGTTGCTTTCAGATATATTTTCCAAAGTGCTTTCATATTAGTTTATATAACCCTACAACGACATTTAACAGTTATAGCACAGTAAGAGTGCTTACCGTGTGCTAGGCATTGTTCTAAGCCTTATGTATTCAGTGACTCTCACATTTTTTAAAAAACCACTGTAAGAAACAAATTTTACATTATGACTTAAGCCATTTATGTGCACACATATAACAAAATTTTTGCAAAACAATAATTACTACATGCAGTGTTCTTGGGTAATTTTTAGTCTTTATATGTAAAAAAGGACACATTGGCCAGGTGTGGTGGCTCATGCCTGTAATCCCAGCACTTTGGGAGGCTGAGTCGGGTGGATCACCTGAGGTCAAGAGTTCAAAACCAGCCTGGCCAACATGGTCAAAACCCATCTCTACTAAAAATACAAAAAACATTAGCCAGGCGTCGGGTGCACACCTGTAATCCCAGCTTCTAGGGAGGCTGAAGCAGGAGAATTGCTTGAACCCAGGAGGCAGAGGTTGCAGTGAGCTGAGACTGTACACCACCTCATTCTAGCCTGGGTAACAGAGTGAGACTTATCTCCAAAAAAAAAAGGGCACATTATAAGTAAAGTGATAGGGCACGGTTGCTTATGCCTCTAATCCCAGCTTTTTGGGAGGCATCGGCCGGTGGATGATGAGGTCATGAGATTGAGACCAGCCTAGCTCACATGGTGAAACCCCATCTTCACTAAAAATACAAAAAATCAGCTGGGCCTGGTGGCGCGTGCCTGTAGTCCCACCTATTTGGGAGGCTGAGGCAGGAGAATCACTTGAACCTGGGAGATAGAGGTTGCAGTGAGCCAAGATTGCGCCACTGCACTCCTGCCTGGGTGACAGAGCGAGACTCTGTCTCAAAAAAAAAAATAAATAAATAAAGTGATAAAAAACCCATTAGTATTGACTGCTTATTCACATTTAATCCTCATAAAACCTCCTGAAATGGGTGATGATATTAGGTCAGTTTTACAGAGGTACAGATTGGTGAAGGGGTAAAGCAGGATTTGAATTTAGTCAATCTGAGTCCAGAGATACCTACTTAACCACTAAACTGGATTTCGTCTCTGCAGAGCGTCCTGTCTCATAGGGAGACATAATAGATGAGGGAATTAAAAATATTAGCAAGTGTTAGAAACTCAGGTCACAACAAAAGGACTAAATCGCATATAATCAAGGAATGTTCAAACAAAGCCTTCTGGCCTTGTAAATCTAATCTATTTCTCTTCCCTAGAGAAAATTTTATCCATCAGGTCTTTATTCCCAAGACTACCTACTGAAATATTTCCATAATTTTCTGTTATGTACCTTTGGGACTTAGTGCACCTCCTCAGTGAAGCCTTACCTTTCCCAGCTCCCCCAGCTCTCAGCCTCCCTGCTTCCCCCGGAATCTTACAGTTCCTTGTAGTCCACATTTGGTTGTTGGTTAAATTGTAATGTGTCTTGGGGTTGATAACATGTCATACAGGAACCTTGGGTGATGCTGTGATCTGGCAAAGAGGTCACTGGACTTTGGAATCTGAGGCTTTGGGTCCTAGTCTTAGCTCTGCCTGTGACTAGCTCTGAGACTCCTACAACCCACTTCATCTGTCAGGGTCTCAGTTCTCCCACCTATAAAGCAAGAGATTAAATGATTCATGATGTTCAGGAAGTGATGATATTTGACCGGGTTATTTATCCCTGGGTGGTGGGATGATTATGTAAATATTTTCCGCATTTTTGGTAAAATCTCCACTCCCTTCCTCAGACTTGCATTATCTTATGGATACCTGAGTGAATTCTACACCATCCATTTTATAGATGAAACCACTGAGACATGGAGCAACTGGCTGAGTAGTCACTGCTCCACCCTTGGAGCCTCACACATAACTCGTCTCCTCTTACTCAGTGACCACAGGTTGGTTGAGGGGGTTAACAAGGCTAAGAAGGTGAGTCAGGTTTGGACTTTGGAAGTTGAACCACAGGATTTATGCTCTAGTTAGAGGAATGATTGTTGCTTCCTCTTATGTTAAGTTGATATGTCACATAAAACCTTTCAGAATGATTTCACATTACTTGTTTAATCATCTCAGGCAACTTTGCCAACTTTCTTATTATGCCCATTTTACGGAAGAGCCATTTTTGGATCAGTGGAGTGAAGCGACTAGCTCAAGGTTACACAGGCTTCTTGACTCCTAGTTTTGGATTGCCCCTTTCCATATCTTCTGATGCTTGTGATATATATATGGACTTTAACGTATGGGATAACTTTACCGTAAACTCAAAAAGCTTTCCAACCAGTCATCATTTTTCTGCCCCCAAGCAGCCAATGCATTTCCCTTAAGTTCCTAACTCTTGTTTTAGAAAATCTCTTCTCTCTTTTCTCTGATGTTTACATTTATGGGTTTGGAAGGGCTGGGAAGGATTCCTCAATAAGACTCTTAAGTTCCCTTGGAGCAGGGACCACATTTTTTTTTTCTCTAATCTACCTGGTTCAGCAAGCATGCTACAGCTATTTAATTTTGATTTTTATTTATTTTTTGAGAAAAGGTCTCGCGCTGTCACCCAGGCTGTAGTGTAGTGGCTCCGTCATAACTCATTGCCACCTCAATCTCCTGGGCTCAAGTAATCCTCCCACCTCAGCCTTCTTAGTAACTGGTAATACAGGTGTGTGCCCACCATGGGGCTGATTTTTTAATTTTAATTTTTAGTAGAGATGAGGTCCTGCTATGTTGCTCAGGTTGGTTTTGAATTCCTGAGCTCAAGTGATTCTTCTGCCTCAGCCTCCCAGAGTCCTGGGATTATGGATGTGAGTCACCATGCCTGGCCTATAGCAATTTAATTTTCCATATTGGCCGAGTGCAGTGGATGAGGTGGTGAGGTGGGTAGAGTTCGAGACCAGCCTGACCAACATGGCAAAACCCTGTTTCTACTGAAAATACACAAAAAAATTTAACTGAGCATGGTGGTATGTGCCTGTAATCCCAGCTACTCGGGAGGCTGAGGCATGTGAATGTGAACCTGGGAGATGGAGGTTGAGGTGAACTGAGATGGTACTACTGCCCTCTAGCCTGGGCGACAGAGCAGGAATCCCTCTTAAAAAAAAAAAGCGCTGCTAACATGTAACATTTTTTTTTTTTCTTGAATCCAGAAGTCATTACACACTTGTTTTAAAAAGTGGTTTCTTTTTCTCTCTCCCTTAAGATTTATCTTTCTGTTTTTCTTTTCTTTTTTTTTTTTTTGAGACGGAGTTTCGCTCTTGTTACCCAGGCTGGAGTGCAATGGCGCGATCTCGGCTCACCGCAACCTCCGCCTCCTGGGTTCAGGCAATTCTCCTGCCTCAGCCTCCTGAGTAGCTGGGATTACAGGCATGTGCCACCGTGCCCAGCTAATTTTTTGTAGTTTTAGTAGAGACGGGGTTTCACCATGTTGACCAGGATGGTCTCGATCTCTTGACCTCGTGATCCACCCGCCTCGGCCTCCCAAAGTGCTGGGATTACAGGCTTGAGCCACCGCGCCCGGCCCTGTTTTTCTTTTAAAGTAATAGTAGGCTGGGCATGGTGGTTCACACCTGTAATTCCAGCATTTTGGAAGGTTGATGCGGGAGAATTACTGGAGTTCGGGAGTTGGAGACCAGCCTGGGCAACATAGTTAGACCCTGTCTGTACAAAAAAATTAAAAAATTTAAAAAATTAACTGGGTATGTGGCATGCACCTGTAGTCCCAGCTACTTGTAAGACTGAGGTGGGACAATCACTTGAGCTCAGGAGTTAGACGCTGCAGTGAGCCATGATCGTGTCACTTCACTCCAGTCTGGACAACAGAGCAAAACCCTATCTAAAAAAAGAAAAATAATAAGAAATAAAGTAGGAGTAAATTGAGAGAGCTTTCCCCCTGTTACTTTCTAGGCTACTACAGCTAGAAATACATCTTAAAAAAATTTTTTTTTTTTTGGAAAACGGAGCTTTATATCTCATAAAGAGTTGCAGCCTGCATGGTGGCCATTCTACCAGGCTGGGAAGTATAGCCTCCAGCCAGAAACCAGAAACAGGCACTTCAAAGCAATTTATCTTTTTTTTTTTTTTTTTTTTTTTTGAGACAGAGTCTTGGTTTGTCGACAGGCACTAGGCTGGAGTGCCTAGCGGTTTAAAAGGTAGTATCTCTACCATGGTCTACAAGACCATATAGGATCTGCACCACCGTCTCCCAGCTGCTCTGACTTCATTTCCTACCACTTTCCCTGGTGCTGTAGGCACACTGGCCTCCTTTGCAGTTGCTCCAGCATGCCAGGCCTTGGGGCCTTTGTAGTTTTTTTTCCTGCCAGGAACATCATTTTTCCAGACGTCAGTGTGGCCTTCTCCCTTATCTCCTTCAGGTTTCTGCTCAACTGTCACCTAATCAGTAAAATATACCATAATTGCCTTGTTTAAAATAAAAGCCATCTCTCTGCCCTCTACTTTCTCTGGTCCCATTCCCTGTTTTATTTTTCTGCATAGCACTTACTATTTGACATACTGTTTATTCATTCATTGTTCATTATTTAGCAAATACTTATTTTGAGTGCTGCCTACTGCATGCCAGGCATTGTGTTCTAGGGACTCTCTATCATAGTTTATTACATGTCACCCTCCACTAGAATGTAAATTTCATGATGGTTAGGACTTTGTTTTCCTCATTGCTATAACCTCACTCCTAGAACAGTGCCTAGAACATAGGAGCTGAATGAATAAATTAATTTTAATTTTTTTTTTTTTGAGACAGAGTTTTGCTCTTGTCCAGGCTGGAGTGCAGTGGCACAGTTTTAGCTTACTGCAGCCTCTGCCTTCAGGGCTCAAGTGATTTTCCTGCCTCAGCCTCCTGTGTATCTGGGACCACGGGCACATGCCATCACACCTGGCTAATTTTTTGTATTTTTAGTAGAGGTGGGTTTCACCATATTGGCCAGGTTGGTCTCGAACTCCTGACCTCAGGTGATTTGCCAACCTCGGCCTCCCAAATCCCAAAGTGCTGGGATTGTAGGCATGAGCCACTGCTCCTAGCCCCATCAACCCTGGCTTTTTTGTTTGTTTGTTTTGAGATGCCTCACACTGTCACCCAGGCTGGAGTGCAGTGGCGTGATCTCAGCTCACTGCAACCTCCGCCTCCCAGGTTCAAGTGATTCCCCTGCCTCAGCCTCCCAAGTAGCTGGGATTACAGGCGCCCGCCACCATGCCCGGCTAATTTTGTATTTTTTTTAGTAGAGACGGGGTTTCACTATGTTGGCCAGGCTGGTCTCAAACTCCTGATCTCAGGTGATCCACCTACCTTGGCCTCCCAAAGTGCTGGGATTACAGGCATGAGCCACTGCGTTGGCTGACCCTGGCTTTTTAAATAATTAGTTTAAAAGCCTGTTATTAGTCTTTATTTAATTTTTTAGGTACTTTCTAGGTACATTCTCACACAGCCACCTCCTCTCAAGATAAGTGAAAGAGTTTACCAGCTCAACCTTCCATCCTGCATATCTGAAAGTTATCTTTCAGTAAACCTGGACACCCACTTAACTGTGTAGCCTTTAATCTCTGTGAACCCCCTCTGCACCTGTCAAATGGAGGTAATGACAAATAACACCAATCTTTCTTCTTGAGAACATTGAATAGGACTAATAGACCAGTTTTGAGAACAGGAGAGTAGAATGAGGAAGGGAGGTAGAGGACTGACAGTTTCTTTTTAAAGTAAATACTATTTGTCTCTGCCTTATTTTAGAAAAAAAAAGTTTTATAAGTGTATGTTTCTTTTTTTCTAAGAGATTAATAAAGATTTTATTTTCGGCCGGGCGTGGTGGCTCACGCCTGTAATCCCAGCACTTTGGGAGGCCGAGGCGGGTGGATCAC